ACTGGAGTCCGTGGGCAGAGTTCACATGAGGGATAGGTTCTCCTCGGATGAGACAGTCAAGGCCGTGGTGCAATCCATTACCGAGGAACTGCAGGGCCGTGCGGCGCCACGCCGCCCAGCCAAGTTGTATACGATGGCCATGCTTATTGCTTTAGAGATTCATGTTTTGGACGAGGATGCTTCTTTGTTTTCGCGAATCATTGCCTGGGTGATTTCTTTGCAACATTGGACTGCTATGAGAGCTGACGATGTTCAATGGTTGGATCCGGGGCGTATGACGCTCACTGATAGCGGCCTTTCCGGAGTACTTAGACGGACCAAGACCACGGGTCCTGGTCGCAGGGCACGCGAGGTGCCTGTCTACGTGGGCCGCGAGGTTTCGCTCTCAGGAAATGATTGGTTGCAAGTGGGCCTTGCTCTGTTCAAGATGCCGGAAGTTTACTGGGAGCGCATGTATTTTCTTCCTTTTCCTTCTGCAGACTGGACTGGTGGAGTCAAGAAGCATTTGTCACCTGAGATGCTGAATGTATGCATCAAGCGGGTGCTTGCAGAGCTATCTGTGCCCCAGCGAGGAGAGCATGCTTGGGTCAAGAGCTCCATGAGTTTGCTGCCTCAGGAGCTGTTGCCGTACTGGTCCGGTCACTCTGCAAGACATTGGCTGCCTTCTTGGGCGGCCACACTTGGGGTTTCAAAGCCAGATAGAGATTTCCTGGGAAGGTGGCAAGCTGGAGCGCATGAGAGCAATGAGTACATTGTCACCTCGCGGGAGGTGGTACACCGTGTGCAGATGCAGGTCGTGGAAGGTGCTGCAGTGGGCCACTCCGGAATTGATGAGCGTCCGCTGCTAAATGAGTTGCAGGAATTTGCAAACACACGCGGGGTCAGCTTTGCCAGAGGGGCTGCCCGCCACCGTGTGTGGCGGACGAATGACTCAGGACATCGTGCTTTGCTGCTAGGGTTTCCACTTGATTATGAGCATATCACCGAAGGGCTGGACGTGGAGGCTGCACTGGAGGTGATCGTGGAAGATGAAGATGGGCTAGATCCCGATGTTTCGTGCTTTCCTTATTGGGTCTCTATTTCGAGACGCAGCCAGTTTCGGCGGCTTCATGCCAAGGATAAGTGCGGGATCATGCCTTGGAGTGTTTTTCGTGCAGAAGGTTTCAGAAGTGTTGATTCTGCCAATGCCGATGCTTGGTGTAAGACTTGTTGGAAGAAGGTGTCATGTGAAGAGGCTTCGGCCTCTCAGGAAGTTTCATCCTCGGGATCCTCCTCCAGCACCGAGTTGGAAGAGCCTGAGCAAGCGTCTCAGGAAGAGTGATTTCTGCAGGGGGCCTAAACTGCGCGCTTGTTCGGTGCCCGTGCTGGTCGTCTGTTCTGCCTTTTAGCTCTCTGCACGCATGTACTGTGAGCGCTTGGAAGCAACTCGGAAGTAGTTTTGCGGCTGAAAGACCAGAGCCGAAGGGTCGGATGCTATAGGAGTGGCATCGTAGGGCATGGCCGATGATGCGGCACGTCGGGCATATGTTGCTCAGCATGTCAGTGCTGATCTTGTTTATGTATGGGAGGAAATGGGCGTAAGCTTGCTGCATCAGCGTGAGCTCGGCGAGCGCTATCGCAGTGTTGCCCTGTTCTCTTCCATTGCAGATACAAGAGCGGACGCGCGGACCGCGCTTCGGGCTGAGGTGACTGTCGCTGATAATGCCGATGGCAGAGCGGCAGTGGCAGGTCTGGTAGCAGCGTGGCAGAGTTGCTACGACATGGCTGATCAAGAACGTCGGCTGAAGGCTGAGGCACATGTTCTTGGTCTTCCAAAGCCGCTCCCATTGAACGATCGGATGGGTATGCGTCATGCACTTGAGAGGGTTGTTGGCGCCTTGGAGGAGAAGGACGAACCTAGCTCCACGTATCTTGCATTGAAATTGGAGGAAGTTGAGGCGGGAGAACTCCGTGCTGCGGTACTTGATGAGGTGACCAGCGTCTCCGATGAGGTCAATGCTCAGTTCCAATCCTCAGTGGACTCATCGGGCCGGTTACGGCTTGTGAAGGAGCGCAAGAAAGCCAAGCTCCCAGCTACTTCGGAGGAGCTCCGTCAGCGGCTACGTCTTGAGTGTCATGCTTTTCTGATGCTGGCTGCTAGGTTCCGCACCAAGCCCTGGTTTGTGGACCTCCGGGTGCAGGACTTTACAAAGCATGTCGATTATGTGTTGGGAGATAAGATCTTTCTTCTGCAAATGTCTCGGCCTGACGGCGCCTCGGGCACTCAGTCGGTCAATCCTTCTTGGACTCTCCTGTTGGGCTTCGAGCATCGACTCCGCAAAGAAGCTTACAAGCGTGCTTGCAGGGACAATCGAGATATCTCCACAACACTAGCGGAAGTCAGAGCGGATGCAGCACTGAAAGAGACCTACTTTGTAGGACCGTTGGCGCTGGAGCTGGCCAGTCGAGGATCTTCTTCCACGGCACCGCCTCCGCCAACGAAGTGGCCTCGGCTTCAGGATCATGTACCAGGTGCAGAAGCAAGTGCAAAGGGTAAGGGTGGCAAAGGCCGCGGAAAGGGGGGCAAAAGCAGCCTCCGCATCGGCTATCCTTCGGCCAGGGGGTTCGTGTTTAGCAGCACGCCGGATGGGCGACAGATCTGCTATGCTTACAACAACGGCACTTGCAAAGGTGATTGCGGTCGAGTGCACGTCTGCCAATTATGCCTGAAGCCCCACCCTCGCAAAAGCTGCAAACTGCAGAAAGACAAGGGTGGTGCTGAGGACAATCAGCCAAACTGACTAGCCACGGATGTGGCCGTTTCATCTGCTTGGGAGTGCTGGGATCTGGAACCGGTCACATCGGACAGGGCCTTTCATTTTCTGCACTTTTACTCAGGCGGGCGTCGGCATTCCAATGTCCGGGAATGTTTGCAGCGAGAAGCCAAATCACTTGGAATTCGATTGTATGGTCTGGAAGTTGATCTTATGGGAACCTCCCTTAAGAGCGACACTGGATCAGGTTTCAGTGCGGAATTGCAACTGTTGATACAGGAAGCTTCCGTGATCTTGCTGGTCCCGGGGGTCAGCACCTTCAGCAGAGCTAAAGCTCACTGGCGCACCGCCGGTGGGCCCAGGCCGCTTCGCTCTTTACAGTATGTTTTCGGGTTTCCTTGGCTGTCGGATAAAGATCGTTCTACGGTCGAGGAGGCTAATTTCGGGGTGCTGAAGTGCTTCGAAATTTGTTTCATTCGCCTTGAGCTTTGCAAGCCATTCATCTTTGAGCACCCTGGGCGCGGTTAACGACTTCATTCCTGCTTCGGTCTGGGACTTCGATGAATTCAAGCAGCTTCTACTTCTGGATGGGGTGCAAACGGCTGCCTTCTTTCAGTGTCAATGGGGGGCACCTCTCAAGTAAGTCACTCGCCTTTTATGGAAGGGCGGACCCTATTTTTCTGGTCCTTTTTTTTTTTTTTCTTTGCCCTTTTTTTTTTTTGGTCCTTGGAGGCCGCGGTTAAAGCACAGCGGAAGAAGCAGGAGCCGGGCAAAGGAAAAAAAAAAAGGGCCCTTCCCTCAAAAAAAAAAAAAAAAGGGCAAAGGAAAATTCTACACCCCCATCTCCGCGATTCGTTGCTCCACGACGATCCAGCCTCGCTGGAACGGGCCCTCCAGGCGGCGGGTGGCTTCACCACCTGTTGGGTTTGGGGGTCTACTCTCTTCCCGGTTGTATGGGCGCTGGACCAACCTGGTGTCGTCCTAACGCGTATCTTGGAGGTTGCGACCCTGCGACAACTTCCTAGTGGATGGCTACGCTCTGGGATCGAACAGGCAGCACAGCGGGGTGATACGCTGCAGGTTGCTACCCTGGTACGACATCTTCGAACACACCCCCCCTTGACATGGAGGCAGACGAAGCTGTGCCGGACCCTGGGCATCTCTCGCTCATTCCAGCGGTGAAAGCCGGCAGCGCTGCTGCGGTGTATGAGATCCTGGCGGCGGGCTACCCCACGGAAGGACCCCTACTGACGCGCGCTCTGCTGGCTGCAGTTGAGTCCACTGCCCCGCTTGAGACTTTGCGCCTCCTGCTGATTGCCAGAGCAGATCCGGGTTTCACCCGGCGAGGGGACGAGGGGGACGCTACGCCCTTCGGACTTGCAGTTTTCAATCGCATGTGGGACACCGTCCGCCTTCTCCTATGCAATTCAATTGCGCATAAGCCCGTCACTATGTTTTGACTGGCTCCTGTGCTTAAGTGGGGAGTGTAGTATGTGACGTGGTTAGCGAAATAACGTGCGTTAGCGGTGTCCGAGCAGCTCCTGTGCGTACACCGGCCACTCTGCATGCCTCCCCTGGCCAGCCGTTTATTGTGCGAGCCTGCTAGCTGGTCGGCAATTCTGCTGTACCGGTACCTCCTCACTGACGCCTTCCCCCGCATAGCCATGGCCCACCAGGAGCAAGCCCTTCCTGAGGCCTCGCCAGCGGTCCTGAGCCCGGCTTTGACCCTTCAACTGCGCGCTCGGAACTCTGGTGGCCGGTGGGAAGCCCTCAGTGCAGACACCAACGTCCCCGGGCACGACGTGCTGCAAATCAGCACCTCACAAGAGGTGGATCTCACCTTCGTCCAGTATGCTCAAGTGATTGCGGCCCTTCACGACTGCAACTTGGTGGTTATCGAGGCTAGCAGGCGAGTCGCTTGGCTCAAGTCGGTGCCGGGGGACCCACGGGTGGCGGCGAGCGGTATTGTCTCATATCAGGATTCCTCGGGACAGCGCGGCTATCAGGCTTTCTACCACAGCTGACCAATTGCGAATGGCCTAGTGACACCCGACGGGCAGGTATCGCCCACTGATGTTGAGGCGCAAAACGGGCGATTGGGGCGCCTGTTGCACGCTCATAGCCGTGTGGGGAAGCTTCCCGCCGTTAGCCTTGTTTGCTCAAGTGCAGCCGGGCATTCCGCCTGTGCTGCAATTGCCGCTAGGTACCTGACGGACCGACCGACTGCTTCCTATCGCGGTCAGTGCCATGACGGTGCCACACTGGCAGCGCCTCGATTCAGGAATCAACGTCAGAGGAGGGGACGTCTTCCACTATGACTACCGCCAGGATGGCTCCTTCACATTGTCAGAGAACGCCCTGGAAGTTACGCTCCTCCTTGCTGCGGCGGCCGGCTGCAACCTGGTTGTGATCGAGACCTACTGTGGATGGCAGCACCCTGAGCACATGACATGCCGCATTTGGTTCAAGCAGGTCAGTGAGGTCCACAGCTACATCCGCAACAACACTGACGTTGACTACGGTCAGCGACAGGGGTACCTCACGTGCTTCCTGAGCAATTGAACCCGGTTACAGGCTTGGAGCGGCCGAGAAGCGAAAATACTCGCTCCCTTTGCTGTCATGCATGATAGGGATCGCAGTTGCAGCACCCGCACTTGCTTCTCGGCTTGCTCAAACCGCAGAGCGACATGAGTTTGGGGTAGGCGGGGAGGAGGCTCGGGCATTCGCCGGTAGCCTCCGCAAACCGCATCCGGCAGCCGCGCCATGGCAGCTCGAGCACCGTTGATGACGAAGCCGGAACCCGCTGAAGTGGCCCGGCTTTACCACGCAGGGGCGACAGGGGGACGTTGGCCCAGGCCGCATCACATGAGGTTCGCGCAGGCTGTGGTTCAGCAACACCTCATGCACGAGGGTGGCGTCCATTTGCAGGTGCTAGATGGAATGCTGGTGGTGCAGGTGCTGCAGGAGCAGGCACCCCTAGGTGCTGGAAGTGGGGTCACCATGGGGTGGCATCGGCTTTTGAATGAGGCCCCGGTCTTTACTGCACTCTGCCAGGTAGTGAACATACCGGGGGCCTGTAACAGTGGACATGTCTTCGTCGCTCGGCACATCGACAGCAACATTCTGGTCACAGCCAAGTCCGTGGATGCGGGCGAGTACTGGGTGGCGATTGTAGACAGCCGGTTGGCGGCCCAGCTGGCCGGAACAGAGTCCGCCGGCCATCAGTAAGCTCACTTGATGCCGCTTTTGTGTCGGCGTATGGGTTCCGCCCTCTATCTGTGCACGCTGAATTGACACTCTTCCGTAGCGGGCCGGACCTTCCCTTCACCAATGCCACCCTCCCGCTGGCCCTGGGCAAGCTGGCGAGGGCAGTTTTGCCACTCATCATGGAGCCTGGTATCCTCATGTGCGAGGCCATTTGGCTTTATACCGATACGGAAGCTGTCCCTACCTATCCGCATGCTAGGTTTACCTTGCCCCACATCATCAACCGGGGACGGTGGACTGGCCGGCACAAAGAAAGGCATTCTGCTCTCTTCATCCCTATCCACGCCGAGACAGCTTTGACAGGCGCACCGATTTGGTGGGGCAAGGTTTATGCTTTGTGGCTACTCACCACTCTCCTGCCTGGCAAGCACATTCTACTGGCTGATCATGATGCAGCGCCGACCTCTTTGTTTGAGGTCCGCGATCTCTTGGAGCTAGCGGCGGAGGCAGCTATCTTTCAACAGGCGCCTGACTCCGGCCGGCAAACGGAAGGGGCAGCTACGAGGGTACGGCCCATATGGGACTATGCGCCGGGTGGTTATGAACTCGCCCAACAGCGGCCGGACGTGGGCTCGGTTGGGGTTGTCTTTGTCTCCGAACCGTCCACGGACCCACAAGGGGGGTTCTCGGTTTTTGCAGCCCAGCCTGGTCATGTCCCTTGGGACGTCTTCCTCGCGCGTGGCGCTCCTCCGGGGCTGTCCAGGATTATCTACGCCAGTGCGAGCATGGAGGGCCTCGTGGGGACCATGGACTGCGCAGGTACGAGGACCACCTCCGGTTACGCTCCTAGACGATTGGGCGGCGGAGGTGGTCCCACTGCTGCTTGCTCGCCGGCCTTGCCCTTCTCCCTGCCCTGCCCCGCAACCTTGCGGCAGCCGATTGGCGACAGGCAGAGCTCCTCGCAGGAACGCCGCTTCTAGGCGCCCAGGCGCGGCATTCTGGCGATGTGGCCACTGCATGGGCGTACCTGGGCTTCCTCATCCAGGCATTTTACTGGACTCCTGACAATGAGGGCACCTCTGCTGCGGCCTGTCGGGTTCCCTGCACCCAGGACCCTCTGACAACGATTCTGCGACCGTATCCGGGGGCGCTGGCGTGGGCGCGCGGTGCCCACGAACAATGTGCGAACTCCACGCTGTACTCCCTGAGCAATCAGCGTTGCCGAATCGGATGCTTACCGGGGCCGGGCCTATTCATGAGTAAACGACTGCCCCAGGAACCCGTAGTGATCGGGCCGGCTTTCGTGCATGGCTATGGCGTGGGAGGCAAGGCGTATCTGAAGGAGCTTAGACCACCTGCGAGCCCTCCCCACTCTCGACGAATGCCTTTGGGGTTGGCGTGGGACGCCTCCTGGCTGGGCGGTCGGCCTTTATGGCCTCATGGGCGTTCCGGGATTCTGCATTGTCGGCCCAGAACAGCCGGCCCTTGAGGGTGCTTGTCGCACCTTGGAGTTCGAGTGCCTGGACGCCGTGAATGGCAATGTAGCTCACCCGCTGACATCCACAGTTCGTGGCTGGATTTGCTCGGAGCTTGACCGCCTCCGGATTCGCCTGCCTAATGGAAGCCAGGGGACTGTCGCCAGCGACGCGTCGCTGCTTGGAGCCTACTTTGATCAGGTGGGACGCTTCGTCAAGGCGCACCGAGACAGCGCTGATGACGAGCGTGACCAGTCGCTGCCAGTGGACAATCACCCGGTGCGGGTCATCTGTTCGGGAGCAGGAGTGTTTCATGTACCGCCGCGAACAGAGCACTGGCAGATAGTATGCTCCCAGCAGTGCTATGGGCCTACGGGCTGCCAGGCGGAAACGGCCGTGGAAGGCAGTCATGGCCAAATATTTATTGAAGAACCGGACAGGCTCTCCTTTGCAGGCCAGCACACCAGCCTTCTCTTGGCACCTGCATGTGTTGTCCGCGCAGCACACGTCTTGCTTGACTCGCCCCTTAACCCACCGGAGGTCTCGGCTCTGCACCGTCCGTTTGAGCGCCTTCCGCGCAGCTCGCACTTGCAAACTCCGCACAGTGGATGCCTGAGCGCCTTACTCATTTTCTTAGCGGCCCTCCTGCCCAGCCCGCTTATCGTTGAGGGCTTCTCGGCTGGCAGCTACACGGGGGCAGTGCTCGCAATTCTGGCGCACCGAGCTTGGGGCGCCGTCCCCCCACAACCAGGGACTGGCAGTTCTGCCGTGGCCCAGGAAGAAGAAAGGCCACTTCGACATGTGAAAAGGCTAGGAGCCTTAGGTATGCCCGACTTCATCTTCGCGCAGCTCCTGGATTTGCCACATACATTGTGGCTTGTCCATGCAAGCGAAGATCGTCTCTGCCCCTTCAACCCGCGGCGCGGGAGCGCCAGCAGCTAGATGCCTCCTTGAGGGCGAGGGGAGGTGGCTTTGTTTGGTTAGTAGGAGGGACCAACTCACAACTCTTCGGCTCCACCTGTCACAACTATGGCCCCCACACATGCAGGTCATGCGGGCCATTTTTCCACAGGCTGAGCTCACCGAGGCCACTATAACCGCCCTTCACCGCGCCCTGCCAGCTGAGCTTTGTGGGGAACTCATGGCTAGTCAGCCACCGGCGCTGCCGGCCATACGCCGCCTGAAGTCGTGGCTGCTGAGCACGGTCGAATTGCATAACGTTACATTGGAATCAGGCCTAACATGTGGCCTTCCTGCGCCGGTAGCGGAGGTGTTGCTGCAACACTCCCTGCACCGGGTAGTGGATTTCTTGTATTTTCACCTCTTCAGCAAAGGAGCCACACTTGCGGACTCTACGGACGAAAGCCGCAGAGAACCGCACTGGCGGGCCCCTCCTCAGGCCCGGCAGGCTGGCTCTCGAGATTTTAGGGACTTCGGTCGAACTCCTCTAACAAGGATGAAACCTTTATTTCCAAAAGCAAATTTCGTTTGAAGCGAAATTAGTGAAAACTTTTACTTTTGAAATTTTTCCTGCTGTTCGACACGACTCCTTTTTTGAGTGCATGACGAACATGGCCTGAGGTGTTGTACGATGTCTTTGTTGCCGTGCATGCATCCTCAAGCTTTGCGAGCAGGAAAATTTTGTGTAGTGGTGGGTGAGCCTTGGGACTTGTATTGCTGAGCTGTTCAGACTCCCGCGAAGGAAGTGCCCGGTACGTGAAGCTGTCCAGTACCCACGGGGAACGCAGTGGATCGGAAAGGTGCGAGCGGAGTGAGTTCTGGAACTCAGCCTAGTCACGTCTGTGTAAAGGCTCTCTAGAGACCACTGCTTTTGCTTAGAGTCTGTAGCGCAGCCGGGGCGGGCTTCGCATGGAATACGAGGACCGTGAGTCTTCAGATTCTTTGGCGAGTACCTCGGCGAGCTCTCACTTTAGCGATCTGAGTTTTGCTTGCGTATTTGCTTCGGGGCCGGTCTGCAAAGTTCGGGTGACTATTGCGCTGTGGAATTTTCTGGACCCTGCGGGACGCGCCGCTTTGCTGACCTCGAGTGCTGCCACGCGCGGAGATTTCTTGGAAGAAATCCTCTTTGTGGCGCTTAGGGCTGGCTTACGGCCCCTGCCGTGAACTCTTCGCTGCGTCGTGTGGTCGCTATGGGGGCAAACAAGCCCGACTTCGCAGAGGAGGTTCGCTCAGCCTGGAATTCCTTGCGTCCTCAAGAGCCCGAAGACCCCTTGAGTACTTTGCTGCCATCATGTGACTTGTTCAAAGATTTCAGTGTTTCAGCCCTCTGCAGACCCGCTGCTACAGATCGCCCGGTGGATGTGGAACTTCGTAAGATTCTGCAGCCGAGCATTGCTGGCAGGAGGTTATACCTGCAGTGTGTGTGCAAAACATTGAGGTTTTGTCTTGGAAGGAAGCTTTGGATTGTCAAACACAGAAAGCTATCAAGAGGTAGTATAATTTGGTCTTGCTTTGGAAGTCGGAGCTTCTGGTGGTAAAGCAAGTCTCCAGTGCCACTGTGGTGGAAGGCATGGACATCTTGGCTGATTACTTGAGACCAAAGGCCCCTAGTACTTTGAACAAGAGGGCCTCATCTCTTTTCTTGCTTGACAAGTTGCTCTCGGAGGAAGGGCTCCTTTTCCCTCCGGACGGGCAGCACCTGTATGATGCCTTGTGCAAGCTACGTGCCAAAGGTAAGGCCCAGTCCGGACGGAAGGGCATCCTTGAAGCTTTGAACTTTTGCTACTTCGTCTTGAACATTGAAGAGTGCGAGGAGCTGGTTTTTAGCAGAAGGTGCCAAGGAGTGTGCTATGTTGAACCGCGTGCACGGGTCAACCAAGCTTCGCCTTTCTCCCTAGAGGAAGTTTTGGAGTTGCATGG